AGACATACATTAGACAAAACAGCATTCCGCTTTATTGATGATGTCAACTAAATGATTTTCCATTAAAAAAACACATTTACTGCTATTCAAGGACACAATCACATACACTTATGTTTTGACCATGTTCTTTGCTATCATTTAGTGTCATCTCGTATTTGTACTCAGAACATCATTGTGTTACAGAAACTAAGGCTTTAGGGCAAAGGATAGGTTGTATGATCTAAAAAAAAAGAATTGTCATACCTCATGTCAGATTTATTTACTGTAAACATGACATTTTTGTTCTTTGTGCTAACTGGAAAGCATTTTGATAAATGTCAGTAAGAGCCAATCTATTGCTGAGAGAGCTGAAATCAATCAGGAAATCAGTTTTAGCAAAATTCCAATCTTTTACCGCTTATGCGGCTGAGATGATGTTTATTTTCAGCCCAGATTTGTCTGTTTTTAATAGGTGAGGTTGGAACAATAATGTTATGCTTTACAGAATTAATCCTCTAAAGTCTTGTTAATTCTCTTTTTTTTCAGTCCAACAGTATTCATTAGTTTGTCTAGGAATGCCATAATAAATACATAGATATATTTCATTGTGTAAATGAAACTTAAGATGTTTGCACTTGAATCTGTTTGTTCCCAATATTTGTTTCACATCTTTTAGGTATTTCAAAGTACAATTCACTGTATATATGTTTTTATTAGTGGCTGCTCATTTCACAGTATTAAATGTGTTGTATACAGCTTGTTATAAAAAAAGATATCAGCCTGAAAAGACCCATAGGTGGTCAATATGCACAAAATAATATTTTTGTTGAAAATATTGTAATTTTACATTCATGGAAATATTACTCATGGATACCAAAATAATTTTATATTTTCATCTGTCTGTTGGATGGTCTGGTTCCTTATTCCATGCTTCCCATTACTGTTGAATATCTAATCTGAGGGATTCAGCTGCTTGCTGGAGATAGTTCTTAAAATGTTACACGTTTGTATAATATGATTTTTTCTTTTTTATTATTATGTTTTTATATTCTTAATATATTATACAGTATTGTTTCAATACAATGATATTTATAAAGTATTAATTGAAGAGCCAGTTTGATGTAGTGGTTAAGGCATCAGGCTAGAAACTGTGGGACCATGAGTTCTAGTCCTGGCTTAGGCACAAAGCTATCTGGGTGACCTTGGGCCAGTCACTCTCAGCCCTAGGAAGCAGGCAAGGGCAAACCACTTCTGAAAAACCTTGCCAAGAAAACTGCAGGGACTCGTCCAGGCAATTGCCAGGAGCCAACACTGACTTGAAGCACGAATCATCATCATCATCATCATCATCATCATCATCATCATCATCATCATCA